CTCTCCGGAATCCCGCCGCCGCCGTCGGACCCGTCATCGCCGTTTTTTTTCAGTTTTAGGTAAAAAAAATGTTGGTTTTCTTTAAAACCCTAGTACGATTTTTTATTTATTTATTTTTAGATCGGTTCGGCTTTTTTTCGGTTTCGTTATTCAGCGAGCGTCCGCTTGTTAGTTCATTTTTAACGAACGCGTTCATCCGTTCGTCTCTATTAACGAACGTTCGCGCCGTAGTCTTTTTCTTTTTATTTTATTTTCGCCAGGGACATATCCGCAATTATTTTTATCATAGATTAGCCCCTGATCTTCAAACCCTCACAACTTTTTAATCGTTAGTCCAAATTCAGTGAAACCAACGCCAAAATCTTGTCTCGAACCCCTCTTTCCATTTAATCAACTTGAACCGGATTTTGACAATTTAAAATTTGATTTCAAGCAGTTTTGAATTCGAAGTTCTTTTGTTCATAGTTTGAGTCTCGTAGCTCCGATTCCATTGATTCTTTTTGCAAGTCGAAACTCTTCAGTTGAATTTTCAGATTGAGTCATCTTATTTGAGTTTTACCCATGCATCTATGCTTGAGTGCTTATGTATGCTATTGTTTGTTTGCGATAGAATCTCCGGAGTGCGAAGCGTGCTACTACGAGTCTCTAGGGTTTGCAGATCGTCGGCAAGGCAAGTAACACATTGATCATACTCTTTTCATGCCCAGTTTTTATGCATTAGTTACAATCCTCAAACACTGCATGATCAGGATGTGATTAACTTGTGGGTATTGGGAAGTAGATAATGAGGTAGAACCTATTGCCTTTTTATTATCAAAGCTTTGGGAGTTACTTCTACGTTATGCTTAGATTGCTATGCTATGCTCGTAGACGTGGATGGTTGAGTGTATCCATGACAGATGTGAGAATTGTTAAATTAATGGTTAACTTAAGGTGGCTACTTAAATACACATCTAGATGGATTGGTTGCGGACACCTGGAGAATCCAGTGTTGTCCTAGGATATCCCGGAGTACCCCTGTGATCATCCTATGGTTCACCACCCAGGCTCAAAGGGA